GGGCAGGCGGGGATCGAACTCATGGGGAAGTGGCTTTAGCTTCTCAGTGCTGTGCTTTAACCCGCTGCACCACCAGGGAGGGCCCACCCTAGGAATATTTTTAATTCATCGTTTTATTATAATTTAACATCTATACAGAATTAAGCTCCAGATTATGTTTGTACACCTCGGTGAATATTTCCCAGGTGAATATATCTACCTTTTCTGCTTCATTCATTTATTCTCATTGTGTATGGGACTTAACTGTATGTCACCTATCCATTTTAGTGTAACTGGAATTTCAGCTGTTGCTAGATTTCTGCAGTTGTGCTGTTCTGAAGATATTTGTAGATGTATATTGGGGAACGTTTGTCTGTATTCAGGTCTGGACCTGGGTCTGGAACTGCTGAGTTTCTGTATGCATGTGTTCTGTTTGAACTGATTCTGTAAAAAGTTTTCCAAAGTGAAAAGTTGCAAAATTTATCCTCACACTTGCGTATATGGGAATTTGTTGTGTAGCTCTACAAACTGTCCTTTTAATTTTCGATAGTCTGTGTCATGGTGGCCCGTAGTTTTAATTTTCATTTCCCTCCTGTACTTAAGCAAATTTTCAAGAATTTGTTGGTTGTTTGAATATTGTCTTTGATGAGATGCTTATTCAAGTCTTTTGTCCATTTTCCTAGAAGATTGCCCACTGATAACTTAAAGACTTAGCATTCTAGATACATTGTAAATTTAAATTATTTAATGAATAGATCTGTCCTCTATAATTGCTTCTCTTTTGCCACTTACCTTTTACTTTCTTAATTACATTTTTTGATTAACAGATATTCCTAATTTTAATGTCACACCAATTTATTCATTTCTTTGATGCATAGAGTGCCTTTCCTAGCCTTTTTAAAAATCACTGACTAGGCCACGTCAGGCAGAAATCCTTCTCTATTTTTCTACACATTTCTGGGACAGGTATGTTTTAAAAGCTAGGTATCTAGGTCATTCTGATGCAGACTGTTCACAATTCATGTTCTGTGAAACTCTATGATTTTCTGCTCTCATGCCCACACTTTCTAGAAGAGCCACATGTGCTGTTCTCCTAAGCCAGCATCATCATCCTGGGCCTCCTCCTTTAAGGTGGCCTCACCTCATGGGCTCCTCATCATCTTCAGGCCATTGTCTTCTCACGCAGTCTCCAGCAGGGACACGTTCACTGAGGTCACTTGTACCAAGTGCAAATGAGTGACCTGTTAGAGACCAGATGCCCATACAGGACCAGCTGACTGTTGCTACATGAGGGTCCTGCTCCAGGTTTCCCAGACAAGCCAAGCCTCTGGCTTGTGTAAAGAAGCCCAATTTCTGTCAAGTAATTCAAACTTTAACATTCACTGTGTGGGAAAATCAATCAACAATAGGAAGAAAACACAGAGATGTAAGGGGCTTGCTAGGGCCCATGGTTTCTGCCTGTCCTAAAGCAGAGAAATAAGCTGTCACCCCCTCTTGAACCTTGGAGCTTGCGGAACCACCTGTCCACAGCTTGCGGACAGGTACATTAGAAATGCAATTCTTAATCCTGGCAACCTCGGAGGCAGAGTCTGCATTTTAGCAATATTCGCAGGTGATTCCTACACAGATGAGAACTTGAGGCCACCAATTCAGGCGTGTGGTTCTC